AAATGAAAGAAAAAGAAATAGAAGAAAAAGAAGCAAGAGAAGCCAAATAGATTATTAAAGAAAGAAGAAAGGCGAGTAACACCTGCACTTCCAAAAAGTTTTCCATCTACATTGGCTATAAGAAACAACCTTTCTTTTTTTTTCTGGATGTAGCCGTCCCTGTATTTATCTAGGAATTTCTTATTTCCAGTCTGGATTGCTGCTGGATACAGCACAGTATGGGAATGCAATTAGTATAGCTATAAGTAATTTTGGGGGGGGATGTGTTATTTCRGCATTTATTTGTTTTGTGGAGCTCTTTGCAAAAAGGAAAGTATGGTCTAAAAGTGCACTGTCTACCAGTTCATTTTCAAGCATAACTCAGAACTTATGTGTTAGCCTGAAAATTCCATATAGTGTGATTCCTTGGTGCTATTTCCTAAAATCCTTGGCCCACTCTGCCTGCTGCTGTATCACATCCATGTGTTGGACATAAAGACTTGTGTGCTCTCAGTGAGCTACTATCAAAATTTTGAGATGGTTTAATTGGGATATAAATAGTTTGGGAGTTTCCTGCAATAACTGAGTCAACTTTACAAACTGATTTATTAGCAGGCGTCTTCTAGAAGATTCTTTTTGATAACAACTCCTGAAATTAACTTTCTAAAATGGAAGGTCATTTAATGCAAGCTATGCTTATTTTCCTTCCCTTGYGGCAAACATTCTTTTTTATGGTGACTAGACTGGCACCATCAGCTTCATGTTYATGGTCCACCCTGTGCTCAGCCTCAGTTGAAGCTCTGAGAGAAGAGATAACCCTTCACCAATAATCCATACTCAAAGAAGAGTGATATGTAAACAGGCAGTACAACATCAAGGGCAGCACCATGAGTTCCCACTGTAGTTTGGAAACTTCAGAGTAGGCAAATTTCTGGAAGCACGACCTGACCACAGTGTGACTGTGAGCCACAAATATAATATAGGCAGATTTATCTTTGTAATCTCAGGCAAAGTGTTGCCATAGGAAAGATGAGCATTATGCAAGGTGCTGGTGATGATTCACCAGCCAGAGGACAGTTCTTATTACTCAAGTTCAACAAAGATGARTTAGTTTGTGATGAAGGCAAGCAAGTGCTAATCAGATGACTAGAGAAAAAGGAGAGTCTATATCGGGAAAGAAGGCTAAGAGGAGCAAGATGAAAACTTGGACAGCTACAATCACTTTCCATAGAAAGATGTCAGCAACTAAGGCCTWCGAGGACAAGAGGTATTTTAGTGCAAAGACCTTTGTAGAAGAAGTACACAAAATAATTAATTTCTTCCACATTTCTTACAAAAAGAAGGCCTCACAATACACAGTACAGTGATAAATGTCATTTGGGGCAGGTAAATGTGGCAGAAATCACATATGCTCTCCAAGGCTTTGCAAAAGTTCAAATAGAGGAAACAGAACCCCGTCTTTTATTCCTGGCGTTGCCACAACCAAATAAAAGTATGGTATAAATGCCTGTATTTACATAGGCTGAATGTACATATGAATTTTGGCACAAACCTACAAAATGCCCAGAGAAGTACCTTACCTACTGTTTCAGGAGATAATTTAAGTTACTTTCTACTAAAAATACAAAATCTTATCGGAGTAATATATTTGCCAGGTTTTTATAAAAGATCTGAATATCGTCCCACTAAATGAAATAGACAATTCACAAGAAGGATAAAGTCTCAAATGTGCTATGAAAGTTTTACTGTATGGTTGAAATGTGTGCTGTATCCCGTATAAACATGGCCAATTGGAGTGTTTTAGAACAGAGTTGCGCAGCTTGGTTTCAGTCGGAAAAGGTGATGTCACGGTGATAGCAGCAGCGGCTATTTTTACAGTTTGGAAGAACTGTAGTTTACCTCATTGTGCTTCAGGCAAGGATCCAACAGTTCTAGGTTTGAAAATTACCAACCTTTCAACCACAATGGTGTAACCTCCGTTGACTTGTTTTTAAAACGCGGGGTTATTTCCATTGCAGTCTACTGGCACGGTCCATCCCAACCTATGGCTCTGGTTATGCCTCCACTTTCCTCCATGCTGCAGCTGCTGAAATAATCCCTACCCCTGGAAAGGGATTCATTTTAAGCCAGATCAATTCCCTAGTCCTTCTCACTGTGTGACTTTGTCAACATTAATTCTGGTGTAGAGAAGAGCTTGGCCAACAAGGGTTGTCTTTTGGCTGCAGCTTACATTTCCGCTACAATCTGAGAGAAAAAAACAACAATTACTATGTCTTCAGAAGCTGGTATTAGCCTTCCTCCAAGCCAGAATGAYGTAGGACACATTTAAGAATGGTGAAGCACGTCAGCCAGCACAATCCATGTAGGAATTGATAGCCTAGTCTTGCTGACAATTTATTTGCCTTCCCATACTGAGAATAATCTGAAATACGAGAATAATCTGAAATACACAGATATTAAAACTCTTTTCAAAGCAAAGTGTGAAAGAAAAGATTTAGGTATTTCCCAGCAGGATTCCCAACAGTCAGTAGCCTTACTATAGAGACATATATATTGGAGGTACTGGAAGATAATTCAGCCTTCATTTCATATACATCTGCCTGTTATTTAAGATGAGAAAAAAAAAAGGTGAAATTGCAGCCACCCTCATCTCAAATTTAYTGAAGTTCCTTGAAATTAAACTTATTTTCATTTATGCCTAATGGCTTTCTCCGCTAGCATAGTTGTTCTCAAGGTGCTTTWCCATAGAGGGCATGCAGACAAGAGTGGGTTTTGAGTATGACTGGCCAAGCAGTGTGACAGATCTGGGGTACCCATCCATGGTCCTTGCTGCAGCCCAGCACGAAGTAATAGCTTCCTCAGACTGACTGACAGCTGAACAAGATGAATTATCATCTTGCAATTTTTCAAGCATAAAGCATGCTTGCATTGATACACGTGATATCTTTTTGCATCTGAAATGATATATAAGATTGTTAATGATATATGAAATGATATATAACATTGCAGTTTTGTCAAAGACTAAGAGAAAAAATAATTTAGAAACTAAAAAGGAAGAATAATTATACCTTGCAGGGGAATGACTTTTCTTTTTGAACCRAATTATAAATTTGGATGCAAAAAATCATTATCAGGAAAAGGAGAGAAAATAAGATTCTTAAAACTTTATACAGTTCCAAAGAAAGCCTCCTTTGCACACTCATCTGTTATTTGCTTTCCTGTTTCTGACAAGGGTTAATATTTTAGAGTTAATTTTTGTTTTGACAATATTAGTTASATGTTTTCAGGATTGTTGCATCGTCTGTGGGCTGACCCAGTGTCTGTCTCTGATTTGGAGGAGTCTGGGTTGAGCTGGTATCCTTTCTCTTGGCTCCAGGCAGTCCTGTTGTTTGGGTTATCCTATATGGCAGACTTCAGTAAGGAATTGTGGTTAAAGTAAAGTACATCCTATGAAGGAATGATGTTTACAGACTGGCATGTTCATTCCCTGCAGTGCCTGGGTGAAGGACATTCACCAGGAGGATAAACAGACAGTAATTCCTGATATTGGAACAATCTCTACAGACTCTTATCTGGCCTGAAGGGGTGGAGTCTGTCTACAGCTGTTCTGGATGCTGACTGTCCTGTCCTTGTCGAGAGAGACATGTAAAACCGCTAGAAACCCATATTCTCCATGCAATCTCATAAGCATGGGGTTCTCCACAAGCTGTGTGGGGTTTGTGAAATGCAGTA